GTTCTCACATTTAATTATTTCGGTGTTGGTTATTTTTTGCAGGGTTCGCCTGGGGAAGCCTGGAGTATGTGAGATGGTCGGCTGCGGCACACTAAGATAAGGAAGGTGGTTTTTCTGCGGTGGAAGCAGCGAGCATGGCGTGCGCCCGCGCGATGGCGCTCCTATGCTCCGCGGCGCTGCTGGCGGCGCTCTTACTGCCAGCGGCGGCGGCCCAACAGCAGGCCCAGGCCGACGATGACGACGCCGACAGTGACGTCCGACCATGGGCACTACGTGAGTATATATGTGTCACATTTAATGAAGAGCATTCAAGATGTGTGACATGGAATGTGTAAAGATCCGCTGAAATGTTGATTAAATGTACGTTTTCAGTCGTGTGATCAAGTGTAATTTACGAGGCATATAAATTTTCAGCTACCCTATTTGAGAAGGTGATGCATTTGAGTTTGAATCTGATTCAATGCAATACTGGAGATGGATGAATACAATTTTTTTAGAAGGCCAAAAAAGGGTATCCTGACATTCTGCTTTTCATCTTACGTTTCTGGAAGGGAATTGGTGAAAAATAATGACAGTTTTGTAAAATATAGTCATCCCTTGTAAATATATTCATCCCTCCATTCCCTATATCAAGACATAACTTTGATTCAACTGAATGATTGTTGAAATAAGGAAGCTACCCTGAAGTAGCATTTTTCAATCCATTTTCTCTCCCCACTTTCATTGGCGTCAATTCATCTTTTTGATCAATAATTTATTTCTTTGATGTATCTCTATAACACAATGCATAAAATAAAGCTATACAAATTATTCCTGAGTATGTTTATGGAGTATCTTATATTCCGTATTTACTTGAGTACCACACGCACCTTTTTTCTCAAATTTAAAAAGGAAAAAAGGGGCGTGTGTCATAAGCAGGTAAAAATATTTCACAAAGTTTCAGGAAGTTAAATGTGCATTATACTTGATCATAATGGAGATGCAAATGTAAAATAGAAAGCCTTTTTTACTGGAAAAGTTGAAAATTGGTCAGATTTTTGTTCAATTCATGCCTTAAGTCAAATTTCTTGTTTTTATTTTCAAAATTTTGTGGTTTTACATGAACTAAAAATTGGGTTGTGTGTCTTACTTGGGGATAATTTTTAGCAAACTCTCCAACTGAAAAACCCCTGTGCACCCTGTTGTGGCCCAAAGCCGCAGCTCCAGCATCCAGTTGAAACCAGACCCCAAAAACTTGTTGGATCTGGAGGCCAGTGAGCCTGGCAAAAATCCCATTTTTGTGAGACTCACTGAACCTCACTCAAGGACAAGAAGTGGTTTTCACTTCTTCGATCTTGCCTGAATTGGCCAATCCTGAGCCAGGAAGAAATCACCTGATTTCTTCTTGATGCAGTCCGAGCACCTGGCTATAAAAACCTTCATTCCTCTTTGAGAGAAAAAGTCAGAACCTAGTGTTAAAGGGCCTTTTAACTTTAAATTACCTCATTCAATATTCTGAGCTAACTATTGACTCTGCCATTAAAACAATTGAATCAACAGCCAATTGATGAACTGGGCAATGAGAATGAACTCCTCTGAAAAGAGTTTGAGTTCTTATTCAAAACTTGCATTCTGATGGCTGCAAAATTCAATTCTTTTGTCTGCGATCCAATGTACCCATGACACACCCCTTACTCAAGGGCGCGTGGTACTCAAGTAAATACAGTATGTCAAAAATGTCACTGGAACTGTGAGAAATCGAGTTTCACTCCACATTATATTTTTTATTCTAAATATTTCAGTTTATTTCGGTTTGCATTACACTTTTTAAAGCAACGTCTCATGTGAAAAAGAAGGGCATGTGCAGAATTTATGTTTTATAATTTTAAGCACCGTCTTACATGAGAAAAGAATAACTTTTCATTGTAATTTTGTTCCGAAACAGCGCAGCGTATGGACGACGACGAGGACGACGATGGCGGGCGTCCGGCGCCGGCGCCAGCACCTGCGCCGCCGAAACCCGGGAGCGGCGGTGGCGGAGGCGGAGGCGGAGGCGCCCAAGACCCACTCGTGATCGATACAACCAAGGGCCGCGTAAGAGGAAAAACGCTGACGGCGGCCACGGGAAAAAAGGTGGACGCCTGGCTCGGCATTCCTTACGGACAACCGCCTGTGGGCGAATACAGGTGAGAGAAAAAATTATTTTCAAATCATTTTCTCGACTTGAAAGCATTTTAAATTTAAGTGAAGCCTCAAGGTTTATTTTTTCCCATTTTTACAATGAAAAGCCCGGAATTCCTGCAGAATTTGGAATTATTTTTTCGAAATAAACATCCTGGAATTCAGTTGATTTGAAAACATTTTCCACGACCAAGATTTATTTTTGATTGGCTTTTGGTCGTCAGTATTACACCTTCAATTAGTATTTGAAACATTTATCAAAATACTGCATTATTCCTGAATGTAACATGGGTTATGATGAAGCTGATGTTGGACCCTCCTAAGTTGAACTTCACTGGGGCGAAAACCATCCTATGAAAGGGTTTGGACAATTATTCTAGGGTTACAAAGAAGGAGAATAATCAATAAAATTGTTTGAAATTTTCCGAAAGAAAAGAAGGAAATCATTGTGCCAATGTATCCCTGCATTCAAGTTCAGCATCCTGTCAATTAATTAACCCAGCAGCTGATAAAGGTTCAAAATATCACCCACCATTTTCCCCTTCCTGTATAATTATTTTCTTTTTCCCCAGAAAAAAAAGCTGGGTTCCTTTATCCATATTTTCAAGATTATGTCTGAGTTTGGAATAAAGAAATTTTGTTTGACTGTATCTGTTGTACATGTTGGGCATATTGATGGAAACCAGCAAAATAACCAATGGTAAAGACACAGCTGTTGGGGATTATCCCAACAAGAGAGACTTTATGAGCACAACACCACAATCAGCCTGGGTGAGCTTTATTCAAGCCCCAAAAGAATCAACAGCTATCAGCATCTTCTTCCAGAGAAATACAAATGCACAGTAATCAACACAATTTCTCAGAGAATTGGTTCAATATTAAGCAGTGGAAGCTAATAATGGGAATGAGATATTTTTTACTGTACAGGTTTTTAAAGGCTTTATAGATTTTTTAGGTGTGAAAAAACAGGACTTAATTTTTGGGAAGTAGCCTTCAATTCCTTGTTTGGAATGTTTCCCCAAATTAAAGAAATTGATGCACATTCTGAAAGTTTCCAAGGATTTTGGGGCCAAGTTATTTGGTTTGAGGCTCCAGGAGAAAAGCACCAGTTTGTTGGAAGTGGCCGTGGGTGGTTCCATTTTGCATAGGCATACAAATAATTTCGGATAAAAGAGAATCTAGACACAAGAAAGGGTTAAATTTTTGCCAGACCGTAAATTTAAAACAAAACAAAAAATAAGTGAATAAACTCTGTGAGTTGTTGCTGTGTGAGTTGTTGCACTGTGTGAGTTGTTGCTTTGCCAGTTGTGTAATTGGTTTATTATTATAATAAATGTTTAATTAAAAATGTGTGCCACAGACCCAAACAACAGCAGAATAAATAAAACAAATGACCAGCAACAGGTTTTTACCTGCAAATGCATTTTCATGGGGTCAACTTGAATTGTGTTCCTAGTTTTTCACAACAATTCATGGAGTAATGTTATGAAAAAGATATTACACAAGTCCCAAGGAAAACTCTTCAAGTGAATAAAATAAATTTGTGCACTAATTCAAAACTGAAATTCTTTACAAGGTTTACAGGTGTATAAACCATGTAAAGAAGAAGAAGAAGGAATAAAAAATGAGAGTACTTTACAGTGATTCTTCACAATGAAGCAGGTGTGAAAAAATATTTCTGATAAAAGTATAACTTTGAAGAGGAGGAGGAAAACCCTTCACTGACATTTTCTCAGTGCATTCTCTCCACAACTGGACAGGAAAACTTGTAGGTGCCATATTGGGATAACGTTGTCATTCCAATGCCAAATTATTGTTGTCAAGCATCTCCTGGAACAAACTTTTACAAAAATCTTCCAGCACTTCATAACTGGATCGACATTGTTCAGCCAAAAAATCCCTGAAGTCCCAACATTGTTGTCCATAGACCTAGGTAAAATAAAATACAAGTTCAAATAAAATATATCTTCAATATATTTTCTGGTCACAAATATTACAATTGCACAAGCACACAAAATGTAAAAATATGGAGATTTGAAGGGAGTCTTGCTAAAACATTATGCAAGTCTCTCTGAGAAATAACTGCAAACGACTCTAGATTAATTCTGGGAAAACATGCAGTAGCAAGGGTATATATATACCTTCTGACAACACAAAGTATATAGGCAAGATATTTGCCTAGATTGAGGAACTGTGGGTTCCTTGAACACTAATGAATATATATACATCCGGGTATATATATATATATATATATATATATATATACATTTAATAAATCCACTTGTACCTTTGACAAGAGGGTTCTTCCTAAATTGGCAAGTTCTTCAGAAAGAAGAGGGTTGTATATCACTGTCAACAAATAGCCGATTCTATCGAGGAAACAAACAGAAACAGGCATCATGCATTAATGCGGGCTGACGCAAGAGAGGGGAACCAAAACAAGAAGGAACAGCTGCAAGGAACTGAAAACCTTGTAAAAGATATTTCAACCCAGCAAATAAGAGAGGGGAAAAGAATAAAGAAGGAAATCAGTTTCTGGGTTACAAGTCATTGCTTTTCTGAGCTCTAATTAAAAAGGTTTATAGTCCCTTTGTCTTGTTTTTAACAATATGCAAGGTTCTGGGTTACAACATCTTGGGTATAATACATGAATGCAAAGTTATTCCTGATGACAATATTCTGCAATCAGTTTAATTTGTGTCAAGATCATTCCAGTCTGACAAAGTTGGGCCTGACAAAGTTAATCCAGCCACCCAAAATATTCACAGAGACTCATTTTTTTATATATTTAGAGGCCTAAGATTTGCTTAGAAATGGTCATCAAGGACTTTGCACAGTTTGCAGTGCCATGTAGTGCAATTTTCATAAGGTTGGGGGGGGGGGAGGGGCTTGAGTTTTTCAAGAATTTTTTCAATGATAATCAAATCTTTTTTGTCAAGTTTTATTGAGCAATTTATTTTTTGCATTAATGGCAAACATTAACTGAGATGTGCTGGATTTTTTTGTTCTTGTTATTGTTGAAGAAAAAGGTACAGATACAATGACTCATCGTCGCTTCACAACTTTCAAAGTGAACTCGGGGTTTTGATTTCGGGATCCGTTTCTCTCCTTTCTTTTTTCCCCTCCACGTCGTCATTTCTCGACACAGGTTTCGACACCCACGGCCCGTGGATCGGTGGTCAGGCATTAAGGATGCTTACGAGCTGCCTCCGTCTTGTCCCCAGATCACGGATGACGCTTATCCGGGCTTCCCTGGGTCCGAAATGTGGAACCCGAACACGAACCAGAGCGAGGACTGCCTGTACTTGAGCATTTGGACGCCGAAACCCAGGCCGAAAAACTCCCCGGTCATGGTCTGGATCTACGGCGGCGGGTTCTACTCTGGTGGGTTATTGCTCAAATCCCTTTTCGGTTTTTTTCTTCTTCTTTCCTTTCTTAATTTGGTCTTCAAATTTCGGAGAATTAAACTACGCTCAACAGCAGTCATACAGGGTATTCCAATGTTTCCAGAGAAAAAATGACGTATAACGAACCGCGATGAAAGAGCTTTGATTCTCAGGAGGATATGCCAAATTTTTATTTATTTTTTTTTACAGTAAATAGAAGACCAGCGGTTTTTCTTACTTCCGAAATTTGAAAATTCCCAAAATTATAAGTTTTGGAAGTTGAATTAAAACTAACTGTGGTTTAGAAAATCACCTGAATCTTACTGCTGAGACTAGCTTTTTCTTTAAAATTTCTTGTGAAAATTTAGGGTATTGCCAATGTTACGGGGATATTTTCAAAAGTACTGGAAGTTTTCATTGGAGAATTCAGAGTTTTTATAATTGGTCAACATCTTGATAATGATTCACAAATTGTATCGATTTCTTCTTCGAGAATATGTTATATTTCGAATACTTCAAGGGCTTTATTGTTGAAATTTTTCGAATTGCACAAATTCTGCGTCTATAATCGTATTTCAATACATTCTAAACATCTTAATGAAGGTGGATTTTTCTTTGAAATTTTATAAATTCACTTCTCCGAAAGAATAAAATTTTATAAATTCACTTCTCCGAAAGTATAAAATTTTTTCGATTTTCGCAGGGATATTTTCAAAAGTACTGCCAGTTGTCATTAGAAAAATTGCCCTTCGTTAATTGGTCAACATATTGACAATGGTACACAAAGTGTATCGATTCCTCCTTCGAAAATTTGCGATATTGCGAATCCTGTACGGAATTTGTCTTTTAAATTTTCAAATTCCATGTGAACTGTTGTTATGATCCTATTTCGACCAAGTGTAAAACATGTCGATGAGGCTCGATTTTTGTCATGGAAATGGCAACAATTCAGTGTTTGAAAATTTGCCAAATTCCCAATTTTGATAGGAGACTTCCGAAAGTTCTGCAAATTTTGGGCTGAATTTAGGAATATTTTAGCAATCAACGTCTTGGTAATGAGGCTTAGCTTATCTTTAAAAGTGATACAATCCCATTTCTTCGAGAATTTGCAATATTTCGAATACTGCACAGGTTTTTTTGAAAAGCGATGCCATCGCTAAAATTGCCGCTAAAATTTTGAAAATTGCCGCACATCGGCAGTTTATCACCGTCTGTTTTGCAATTCTCAACATATTTATGAAGCTTGATATTTGTCGCCACGAAATGGCCTCGTTCAAGATTTTCAGTACCGTCAATTTTGCAGGGGTATTTTCAACAGTTTTTATTTTTAAAATTTAATTATGCTATTATTTCGCCTTTTAAAAAAATCTCTCTTTCACGCAATTGCTATCGATTTTATTTTATTTTTTCATTTTTAGGAACGTCGACGCTTGAGGTGTATGATCCCAAGATCCTCGTTGCCGAGGAAAACATGATCGTGGCCTCGATACAGTACCGGGTTGCGTCTCTCGGGTTCCTCTATTTCGACGTACCCGACGCCCCTGGCAACGCTGGGTTGTTCGACCAGCGCATGGCCCTGGAGTGGATCCACGACAACATAGCAGCCTTCGGGGGCAACCCGGAAAACATCACCTTGTTCGGGGAATCCGCGGGTGCTGTGTCCATATCCCTTCATCTCCTCTCGCCTCTCAGGTGGGCCACTTTGCACATCATGTCTGCTGGTATACGGTATATATCGTATTATTCACTGTATAGTGGGACCCGGACATGAGGACAATTCGACTTAGGGACACTGACAGCTTGTGAGAAAAAAAACCTGGATGAGATTGTGCAATGTATGTTTCCAATATGGACTCTGTGGTATTTTGGTATTAAAAAAAAGCTCAAAGGGTGTCCAGAAAGCGTAAAGGTGGCATACCTTTGCTTTGCTTAACCATTGGGCAGCAAAGTTGGACTTTTTTTGCAAAAATTTGTTGCACCTCAAAGAGTTGAAGAAAAAAATGTCAACAGGAGGTTAACCCTTGTGCGGCAAAGTCGGACTATTTTCTCAAAATTTTGTGGCACCTCAGAGAGGTTTGGAAAAAAAATGATAACAGGTGGTCAAGGACAAAGTCAGGAAAAATCCCGATGCTTTTTTCTCTGAACACAGAACAATTTTGCGGGCAAAAAAAATTATCAGTTAGGCTACCAGCCTTTTTTCGGATTAATCCCAACTTTGCCTCAGCCCCCCTGGAAGGGTTTTGGTGACCTTCCCAAAACTGAAAACGCGGGAGGATAAGAAATTAATCCGACTCCATCCTGCTATTGGAAAGAACCCTCTGCTGTCCGAGGGTTAAGGGTGAAGTTGGGAAAAATTCCAATGTTTTTTTTCCCTTGGCACAGAATATTTTTGCAGGAAAATTAAAAAAAATGCTCAGTTAGTCTACCGGATTTTTTTGGATTTATCCCTTTGGATTTATCCCAACTTTGCCTCAGCCCACCTGGAAGGGTTTTCCTGACCTTAAAAATTATGAAAATGCGAGAGGATACAAAAATAATCCAACTCTGTCCTGCTATGGGAAAGAACCCTCAGCTGTCCAAGGGTTAACCCTTGGAGGTTGGAGGGTTCTTTCTCAGTGCACGGAGGAGTTGGGATTTTTCTGGGGGGCAACGCATTTCAGTTTGACCCAAGGTTACTGAAATGCGCCCAGGTTGAGGAGGCCTAAGTTGTGAAAAATCTGGGAGGCAAATTTTCTTCCATTTTCAAGATTTTCCCATGCAACTCCTATGCAAGGAATCCAGGAAAAAATGCCACCCAGTGAGGGATATTTTTATTTTCATTGAAAATTTTCTGCAGGATTTAACTCCCTGTTGTCATTTTTTTTTCTTCTCTGAGGTGCAACAAAGTTTTGCAAAAATTGTCCAACTTTGCTGCCCAAGGATTACATGTAAGAGATGAAGATGTAGACATCTCCACACAGTATACTCTGGCTATTGCTTCTGTTGGAGATTTTGAGATTGAGAAAAAAGAGAAAAAAATATTTTTGAGCTGTAAAGGAAAAATCTCAGGCTGTTGCTCAAAAATTAAAAATATGGAAAGACCGCATGGCAAATTAGAAGAAAAGAACCTGCTACAGCTCATACAGGAAAATATCAAGTCATCAGAATGCCCAGAGAATTTGATACAACCCTTAAGGACTCTTCTCCAAAAAGTCAAGAACGTTTTCTGCACAATTGAAGTCAAAGGGAAAATGAGACTAAACTTGAAGACATTCCAACAGCAGAACACTCTTGATTCACCAATTACATCCACATCTCGGGGTCTCACTGTATTTTACAATTCTGAATATATTTTTTCTTTTGTATTTCATGTGCAATTTTCAATTCGAGTAACCTTCATATATTTTCTTCTCGTTTTCTCACTTTTTCTGGTCATCATCATCATCATCAGTCGGCGGCTGTACAGCCAGGCGATTCTGCAGAGCGGCGCCGCGACGGCGCCGTGGGTGATACTCTCCAAAGAAGAGGCGTTCCGCCGCGGGGTGCTGATGGCGGCCGGTGTGGGTTGCCCACACACGATGGCGGAAGTGGACGAGATGATCAAGTGTTTGCGCACCCGTGACCCCAAGGAGCTGCTAGACAACGAGTGGGAGGGTCACGGAGGGGTCGTCGACTTCCCCTTCGTGCCCGTCATCGACGGCACTTTTCTAGACCAGATGCCTTCCAAGTGAGAATATATATATTGCTGCGATTTATCCATGTAATATTTAGAGAAATAACACTCCCCCCTCCCCCACCATATCTTTCTATAGAACGTTTACAGTGAGACCCGAGATGCGGACGTATAATTGGTGCATCAAGAGTATAACATTCAATTAGGAATATGATGACTGTTTCTGCATACAAGCATGAAAGAATATTCCCCGGACTTGTTTCAGAATTGTATTCCAAATTTATTAGGTTTACAATAACCCTTTTTTTAAATAACCTGCCCCTATTTCAGCACATTTCTTCCCTCTTTTGATTCAAATGACGACGAATTCGCCGAGTGCTACTTTAAATTCTATTATCTTTGTCAAACGTTTAAAGCTGACCAGAAGAATGAATCGTGGTTAAAAAAAAAAAAAGGCCCAGTTTCGTATCCGGAAAACTTTTCAGGTTTCATGAAAATATTCGCACAGTTTGATATTTAAATTCCTTCAATGCACGAATTTGAAAATCCGAGAGCCTTTCGGGATAATATTCATAATTCACCGTGTTTTTTTTTTCTCTGTTGAAAAACTCCAAGAGAAAATATTTTCGTCGTCATCTGTTTTATATAAGGGTGCAATGTTGTAGGGCTGACGTCTCATCTCAGTGATGAATGTATCCACTCCGACGGACACAGTTTTATCAATAGTGTAACATCACTTTTATATATGGGCTGGACATTTCGATAATCCATGAACCATGGCTAAAAACTGAAGGTTTGCCAGATTTATACGCACTTATTATAGGCCATCACGTATGTGTTCAGTACAGGTCGCACTCGTTTTTGACGCGGTTGTAGAGGTATTGTTTGCAAAACATTGGAATACTTTTGGGGGGAATGTGTGCCAACTTTTGCCAGCGTAAAAAAAAATTAAAATAATTATTACAGCGTTGGACAAATATTCAGGCACCAAAAATTAGGCACAATTCTCGAAATTTCTGGGTTATGCAGGGTATATATATTTTTTCACTAATTGTTTATTCTTGGTCAAAATATACAGTGAGACCCCCACATGCGGACAATTCGACATAGGGACACTTATTTTCCCATGGGAAATTTATAAAATATTCCCAACATGAGGACACTGACTCAACATGGGGACATTTTGTGATGAAATTTCAAATAAATTGCCGGCCAAATTACAAGAAACAGATGTTTCTAACCCTAGAATTGATATAAGAAAAGTTCTTGGGCATTTCTCTCACAATTTTACCATCCATTTAGTTAATTTAAAAATTACTACTAGCATAGAGGGACTTCCTTCTCTCTTTTTCACTTGAATGTTTTCTTTTTTTACAGGGAATGCCAACATTTCTATGTACTGCACAGAGGTATCAGTATTCAATTCTCCAAATGTCCATATTGTGTTGAAATATATTGATGGAATCAGTTTCAATTGGGAGACAATTTTTATTTTCATGGAATTATGGCAAGTAATTTGTACATAAAAACACAATTGAAAATTATATAGTGTAAGTCTGAGGGAAACTGAGACTAAACTTAGGGATATTTTGACTTGGGGGACACTCTTGATGCACCAATTACTTCCGCATCTTGGGGACTCATTGTTATATTATTCTTTCGATTGTTTCTTTTTTTAATTTCTCTCCAAGGTATTTGGAGAGCAAGGATTTCAAGAAGACGAACTTGCTTCTCGGGTCGAACTCGGAGGAAGGTTCGTTCTGGTTGCTGTACTTCCTGCCGTGGAAGTTCCAGATGGAGTTTGGGTCCAAAGACGGCCTGAAGCGGCCGCCCGCCAACGTCCGGTTTAACATGTCCGACTTCCGGCGTGCCCTCAACGACATGTTCCGCGGCTACAGCAAAATAGTCAAGGAAGCCATTGCCTACGAGTACCTGGACTGGCTGAACCCGCGCGACACGTTGAAGGTACGGGTTTCATCCTCCAAAAATCAATTCATCCGGTGTCGCGTCTGTGTTACCAGAAACAAAAAAAATGTTTTTGACCACTCGACATTTTTTACATTTTCTCCCATACAGTCCTCAAAACAAAACTCAACTTAATGCCAAAATTACTGCATGTTAAGCACAAATGAAGCCGCTATATAGGAGAATTTTTTGGAAAATAAGAATAGTTTGGCCTCAAAAATTATAAAAAAAAAAACTGTAAAAAATTACAAAAAACTCAAAAATTATCCCAGCTGGATAAATTTCAGCTGGTGAAAATTGGTTTAAAGTGGTATTATTGGAGAAAAGGGAATTTTTTTCATCAGATGATATAAACTGCCGGATATTGTCTTTCTAAAATTTTGGTTTGCCACAAGAGGCTTTATTATTATTACTTTTTACAAATTTATTATGTGGAAGAAAGTTTCAGATGGTCTGGCAATGGTCTGTGGACCATGGGTTGGGGAACACTGCTCTATATACAGTAGTTCATACTGAGGCTGAAAATCATCATCAGGTTTTTTTTTTCTAAATTAAAATACTGAGGAAATATGGGTTCATATATCATTTTATTTGGGAAATACAGTACAGTGAGACCCCCACATGCGGACCACTCAACTTGCGGACAATTCTACATAGGGACGCTTATTTTCCCAGAGAAAAATTAATGAAAAATGCCTGATATGAGGACACTGACTCAACACAGGGACATTTTGTGATAAAATTGCAAATACATTTCAGTCCAAAGTACAAGAAACAGATATTTCCAACCCTAAAATTGAGGTAAGAAAAGTTCTTTGGCATTTCTCTCACTAATTTACCACCCATTCAGCTAATTTTAAAAGATTACCTCCAGCATAGAGGGATTTCTACTTTTTTTCACTTGAATGTAATTTTTGTAGATGCCAACATTTCAATGTACAGTACAGAAATACACTATTCAATACTGCAAATGTTCTTATTGAGTTGAAAATGTATGCACTGATTCAAATTCAAGTGGCAAACAATTTTTTTCAGGGAATTCTGAAGAATATTTCTCCCATAAAACACCAATTAAAAACTGAATAATGTTAGTCTATGGGAAAACAAGACTGGACTTATGGCTTATTTAACTTAAGGACACTCTTGATGCCCAATTTATGTCCACATTTGTTTTAAAAATGATGATGAAATGTGATTTTACTCTTCATTTTCTGTGGGAAATATTTATTGACAAATTTGATGATTGAAATACGATTGATATTTTTTACATACTTTGTTCAATCACAACAAAAAAAATGATAGCTGCTGGACTCGTTGGATAAGATGATCGGGGATTTCCACTTCACGTGTGCTGTGAACGAGCTGGCGTACCGGTACGCCGAGGCTCAACAGAACTCCGTGTACTACTACTACTTCACGCAGCGGAGCTCAGTGTCGCCCTGGCCGCCGTGGATGGGCGTCCTTCACGCGGACGAGATCGCCTTTGTGTTCGGCGAGCCCCTGAACCCGTCCAAGGGCTACCGCAAGGAGGACATCCAGCTCTCGCGCCGCATGATGCGCTACTGGGCCAACTTTGCCCGCACTGGGTGAGTGTCCGTCTGTCTGTCGTCTGCCAATTTTTTTTAGCACTGTACACAATTACAGGTGGACTCTCTCTTTCTCTATGCAACCAAATGCGAGGGGATCAGAAAATAATTCCTTGTAGAGAGAATTTCATTTTAGAGAACCCTTGTACAGTATATGGGGCAAAGTTGGAATATTTTTGCAAGATATTTGTATTCCCAGAAGCACTGAAAATAAAATTAAAATCATATTTTCAAAAAAGACTAGACCGAAGCCAGGAAAAAGTCCAATATATTATTTTGATAATCCAGCTAAAAAATTATTATTATGCCAATTTATTATTTTTTTAGCACTGTACCTAATTAAAGGTAGTCTCTCTCTCTCTCTCTCTCTCTCTCTCTCTCTCTCTCTCTCTCTATCTGCAACAAAATTCAAGGGGCCAGAAAATAAATCCTTTGTAGAGAGGATTTCATTTTTGAGAACCCTTGTATGTGGGGCAAAGTTGGAATATTTTTGCAAGATATTTGTATACCCACAAGCACTAAAAATAAAGTAAAAATAATATTTTTCAGCAAAAGCCCAAGTCAGGAAAAATTCCAATGTATATATTTTTTGATAATCCTGCTAAAATAAAATTTCCTAAAAAATGAAAATTTCCTCTCTGATCGGTGGTCTTTTTGCCTGCATTCCAAGTATAAGGTTAGCCCTTTTGTGCAGCAAATTTGTACAGATATTTTCATGAAATTGTTTGCCTATGAGCACTGAAAGTAAAATGGAAAAGCATATTTTTTAAAAGTCCAATATCATCTTTTTATAATACTGCTGAAGATTCTGCCTGAAAAATAAAAATTCCTCACAAGGTGGTGTTTTTTCCTGCATTCCTAGCATAGAGTTAACCTTTGTGCAACAAAGTTGAGATATTTTTGCAAACCTTTGTGCCTGTGAGAACTGGAAAAAAAATGGCATTTTTGAGACAAGGCGTAAGTTGGTCAATATTCCAATGCAGTATTTTTTATGATCCTGCAGAAAATTTTGCGAGAAAAAAAATTCCTCATTGGGTGGGTTTTTCATTCATCAATTACTACCACAGGATTAACATTGGGGATTTCTAAACACAAAAGGATTCACACTTGTCAGATTTTTCAAAAATTGAGCCTTCCCAACCTGGGGCATTTCAGTGACCTATGGTCAACCTATCTTTAGAATAAATCCTGACTTTGCTATGTGATGGAAAATGGGGAGAGCAATTTATTTCATTTTTTTCTGCTGTGAAAATTATTCTGAATTGTTAAGGACAAACTTGCAGCAATAAAAGGTTGTCAGTACAAAATACAGTCAAACCTCCTCAAGTCAAACTTCAAGGGAATTGTCATGGGTACATTGGATCCCAGACAAAGGAATTGAGTTGTGCAGCCATCAGAATGCAAGTTTTGAATGAGAACTCAAAGTCTTTTTAGAGGAGTTCATTCTCATTGCCCAGTTCATCAATTGGCTGTTAATTGAATGGTTGTAATGGCAGAGTCAATGGTTAGCTCAGAATATTAAATGAGGTAATTTAAAGTTAAAAGGCCCTTTAACACTAGGTTCTGACTTTTTCTCTCAAAGAGGAATGAGGGTTTTTATACCCAGTTGCCTGGACTGGGTCAGGAAGAAATCAGGTGATTTCTTCCTGGCTCAGGATTGGCCCATTCCTATAAAATTGAAGAAGTGATGACCACTTCTTGTCCCTGAGTGAGGCTCAGTGAGTCTTGCAAAAACAGGATTTTTGGGAGGCTTACTGGCCTCAGAAATCCAACAAGTTTTGGGGTCTGGTTCTGGTTTCAACCCAATGTTGGAGCTGCCTTGTTTTGGGACGCCACAGGAACAGCAAAAAATTGAATTAGGGATGTTTTGAGTTGTGAAGACCAGTCTTGTGCTTGGGGCAAAGGGAAAAGAATTGCAGGAAATTGTGATTGGTGATTTTCTACGCCTTTCATTTCTTCTTGAATTAGTTTATTATGGTATGGATCCCAACAGAGACAACAATTAAATTGGGGTTGGAAAATAGAACGAGAATTCAGCAGTTACAAAATCGCAATACAGTATATACAATTGCGTTTTTCAGCTGTGCTTGCTTCTGATTCGTGAAAAAAGGGCCATTTATCCCTATCAAATATTAAATTACGATGGACTGCCATCTAACGGCAATCCGTTCAGAAATTCCCGCAGAACTCTCCAGAATCATCAGGAAGCAGGAAATGTATTTTCACAGGTATTCTCCTACGGATATCCCATTTCCGGATTCGCATATTAGTGAATATCCGGCATCACTGTCCAGTGAAGATGGCAGGAGAAAGCTCAGGGTCGGTCACAAACACATACATAAGTACACAATGCCATGTAGCCCTGTTTCCCGGGGGTTTCTCAGTGCCATCAGGGCTACGATCGACGTCGCAATGTAATCGCGAGGCATGGTGTGTACCCGGGGTTCCCCCCGTTGGGATAATGTTGCCCGCCGGCATGTTGTACCAGCCCCGAACGATGTCGGGTAATGGGTTCCGGGCTGCTGTGTCCAGGGATGCCTTTAGACAGATGCCTTCTCTGCTAACAGGGTTTCACTGAAAAAAAAAGATTAAATAAAATATATTCATCTGAATTTATAACCATGTTTTTTAACCCTTGGGCAGCAAAGTTGGACTATTTTTGCAAAATTTTGTTGCACCTCAGGGAAGAAAATAAAAAAGGACAACAGGGATTTGAGGACAAAGTTGGGAAAAATCCCAATGGTTTTTTCTTTATGCACAGAAAAATATTTGTGGGAAAAATAAAAAAAAATTCTGTTTTATGCTGCAGGCTTTTCTTGGATTAATCCTAACTTGGCCTCAGCCCACCTGGAAGGTCTTTTCTGACCTTCAGAAAACTTAAAACACCCCAGCATACAAAAATAATCCAATTTTGGCCAGCAATGGGAAAGAACCCTCTGCTGTCCAAGGGTTAATGAATGAATGAACAGAATGCTTTGTTTTCTGCTTTTCAGTATTCACAAGGTTCAATCAAGATTTCCACATCCAAACTCCCTCCCCACCCAACCCAAATCAACTCAAAGACATTTAATCACTTCAGAGCAGGAAACAGAGCACAAATGGATAACAAAAATAAAAGAAAATACAACCCGGCATCTGACATGTATGCATACACACATTCCTTCCCTGATTTATGTATTCCATTCCTTCCCTTATTTTATGCCGATGAGATGAAAATAATTTCTTTGTCAAACTTTTTCGCAAGTTCTTCCTACAAATTTTCACTGACATAATTCGTCTGGGATTATTTTTCAGCACGTGTTTCCATTTAAGTGAAAGATATTTTTTTCTGTGCATTTTGTTCAAAGTATTTGGCTCTTTGGTTGAGCAGAAATGCAATGAAAAAGGACTGTCACTTTTTCGCATAACTCATTCACAAATTAAAGAATTCGTGGAGTTTCTTGAATGCATCCAAAGCAATGCAGTCAGTGACTCAACTTCTTCATGGATTCCTGAAAAATTCCTGGCACAGGTTCAAGCTGGAGGCACAAGAGAATTTCATGCTTCAGCAGCTTCTGTCAGGTTTGAGCTGGATTATGTTTCTTTTTTTTCGGGAAAAAATATTTTAGAAATGAATTTCATGGTCGTGATTCGTGTGACAATACAGTACTTGTATTATAATTTTAATTTCTTAATCCAAGTCTCGGGAATGAATGCAATTTCTTGCAATGGCCGTGTTGATGCATTTATGGGACGCAATCGAATTTCAGGCAACAAATTCAATAGGTAATGTGGACTTGAAACATCTTTTGAATATTTTCAGGCGGAATATGGAAGAAAAAAACCCACTGATTGAAAATTTCAGAAAGAGCTTGATGTAAAGACAATAGAAAGGCAATTTGAAGACTGAAGAAGATGAATGGATTAAAAAAAAACAAAAATTGATCAGGGTTACGGGACAACTTGCATAGAAACAATTTGCACAGCAACAAGTTGCACAGTGACAACTTCAACAGTGCAACAACTTGCACAGTTTTTCCCTCTACTAAACTTTTGTTGCTTTAAGTTTAGGTTCAGACAAATATGAATACTGTTTTGCATATGGATTCTCTTTTGTCCTACATTAATTGTACGTATTTTTCATTTTCTAAATTTACAAAATGGGGCTTGAGAGCATAAAGAATGCCACTGTAAATATGTCCATGAAAATCTATCTGGTTTTTTTTTTGGCATGGATGAAAATGATTCTGTTCATACTCAATTTTTGTCAATGCTTGTGTATTCAATCCAGTCAAGGATAATTCTGATGGACGTGCCAATTATATTTTTAAAAAACATAAAAAATCAGGCATATCCACTTGATGCAAGACAATCTGCTGCATATACATGACCAACCCAAAGTTAAACACTTTAACTTGATCAACTTCACAAAAATAAATTTTTTATGCATCAGAATAATCCTTGACAAGATTGAAAATACAAGCATTGAAAAATTGAGAATGAACAGAATCCTGTTCCTGGATGCCAAAAAAACCGTAGAGATTTTCATGGACAAATTCATCTTGGCATTTTTTATGTTCTCAAGCCCCATTTTGTATATTTAGAAATTGAAAAATCCATACAATTAAAGCAGGACGAAAGAGAATCTATATGCAAAAAAGTATTCATATTTGCCTGAGCCTAAATTTGAAATAAAACTAAGGTTTGGTGGGAAAAAATTTGCGCAAAAAGTTGGCACACTGTTTGAGTTATTGCTAAACGAGCTGTTACACTGTGCAAGTTGTTGCTGTGCAAGTTGTTGCAGTGCAACTTTTTGCTGTGCAACTTTTTGCTGTGCAACTTTTTGCTGTGCAACTTTTTGCAGTGCAAGTTGTCAGCAGGGAATCTTGGTCAGCTAGGTTGAAAATGAACTTGTAAATTTTCCTTGATTTTTCTCTACACTACTGTCATGGGTCCATTGGATCCCAGACAAAGGAATTGAATTGTGCAGCCATCAGAATGCAAGTTTTGAATAAGAAATCCAACTCTTTTCAGAGGATTTCATTCTCATTGCCCAGTTCATCAATTGGTTGTTAATTCAATGGTTTTAATGGCAGAGTCAATGATTAGCTCAGAATATTGAATGAGGTAATTTTAAGTTGAAAAGACCCTTTAACACTAGGTTCTGACTTTTTCTCTCAAAGAGGAATGAAGGATTTCATACCCAGGTGCCTGGACTGGGTCAGGAAGAAATCAGGTGATTTCTTCCTGGCTCAGGATTGGCCAATAAAGGATAATGGAAGAAGTGATAACCACTTCTTGTCCTTGAGTGAGGCTGAGTGAGTCTGACAAAAACAGGATTTTTGGGAGGCTCACTGGCCTCCAGAATCCAACAAGTTTTCTGGGTCCAGTTGCAACCGGATGCTGGAGCTGCGTCGCTTGGGGGCCGCAACAACTACTTTGTAGAGTGAGCCTGTAAAATAGGCTGCTTCTCTAATTTTTCCATTCCATTTGTTATTCAACTGAAAATAGGCTGATGTGAAACGGCGGTTGAGTGAATATTTAAAAATATTGATTATAAGTTTCATCAAATCCGAAATGGTTGCGCTGTAATTTTATTGATAATATTTTTTTTTTCGGATTTCGATGATAAAGAAATCGGTGCATGTCTTCAAAAAAGAGGCGATTAAAATAGGAATGAAATATCGCTGTCAATCCGAAAAATGGGATTCCGAAAATTGCTGAAGAACCCCAGAGAATCTACTCGACTTTCTTTTCGCTCTTTTTTTTTTAATGTGCATCTCCTCGGGTTTTAAAGCCCTTGTGTGACGTCATTGGCGAAGTTCCAAGTCCAACACTGAGGTTTTTTTTTTACCTCAACATACTATTGCCTTATTTTTTCCTCCCTTTCCGAATTTCTCCAATCATGATTTTTTTTGTTTTAATGTATTTTTTCTATGCTATATCTTCGTCTTCTTCTCGTATATTTTCAAACGTCATTTCGAATTTGAACGCTCAGGAAAATGCTGGATGAGGTTAAAATTTTTGTTTTGTTTACCCCCCCCCCCCCCAAATCTTTCTTCTTTAGGCTCATGTCGTCATTGTGTCTGGGTTTTATTTTTGTGTGTGTTGATGTTGTAGGATAAGTTAATTTTGATGCGATGTAATTTTGATCGTAGGTCTTTTTGACAAGTGCCGTTTTTATGTTTGTATTATTACTGTATTTTCGATAATTCTACTGAATTTCCTCCATCGTCTCAATTAGCAATAGACGTGAAACTCCGGTTGTTCACGGAATGGAACCTGCAAATTTTGTATAATTTTAATGAATATACAGTACAAAGTCCGGATTAATGTTATAATCCAGAAAATTTCCACTTCCATTGCGATTACGTGCAAGTTCAGAATGTCAATTCAATTTTCAGTGATTATTATGGTGAATGAATGAAGATTCAATTTTCTATTTTCAAATTTTACCAGTTTTATTTTTGCCATTCGCACGAGGAAAAAGAAAGTTCGGCAGAACTTCAGTGAAGAAATTTTGAAAATATTTTTCCTTTAAATCCTAGAAACTATTTTCATGCAAAAAACTCATGCTCTCCGCTTTTTTGGCACGTTTTGAAGAAACTGATACATGTGTTGGGGAGAAACTTACCTCAACATAAATTTTTTAGAAATTTGAAAATGGATCTACTATAATAAAGTTACTTGCCGTCCTCGGTTCGCACTTTTTTTAATTTTCACAGGCCCTCCCTTCCTTCCAGCGCCTTACCTCCCTCCCACAGAGCCCCAGAGAGGCCTGCAGGAGGGTCCTTGGTTGTTAATTCAATGGTTTGATTGGCAGAGTCAATGGTTGGCTAGCTCATTGAGGTAATTTAAAGTTGAAAGGCCCTTTTAACACTAGGTTCTTTTTCTCTCAAAGAGGAATGAAGGATTTTATACCCAGGTGCTTGGACTGGGTCAGGAAGAAATCAGGTGAATTCTTCCTGGCTCAGGATTGGCCAATAAAGGAAAATTGAAGAAGTGATAAGCCACTTCTTGTCTTTGAGTGAGACTCAGTGAGTATTGCAAAAATTGGATTTTTGCAAGGCCCACTGCGGCCTCCAGAATCCAACAAGTTTTCTGGGTCCAGTTGCAACCGGATGCTGGAGCTGCGTCGCTTAGAGCCGCAACAACTACTTTGTAGAGTGAGCCTGTAAAATAGGCTGCTTCTCTAATTTTACCATTCCATTTGTTATTTAACTGAAAATAGGCTGCAAATGTGAAACTGCGGTTGAGTGAATATTTAAAAATATTGATTATAAGTTTCATCAAATCCAAAAAGGTTGCGCTGTAATTTTATTGATAATATTTTTTTTATTCGGATCTCGATGATAAAGAAATCGGTGCATGTCTTCAAAAAAGAGGCGATTAAAATAAGAATGAAATATCGCTGTCAATCCGAAAAAAAAAGGATTCCG